TGCTCTATGAACATCTGCATATATTTTCTCTTAAAAACAAGATGTTGTACAGGGGAGGCATACGCCTGTGTAGTGCAGGTGCCCATGGAGTCCAGAAGAGGGCGCCAGATCACCAGGAGCTGGAGGTGTGGACAGTTGTGAGCCACTCTAACTTGGGCCCTTTGCAAGAGCAGTACATGCTCTTAACCCCTGAGTCATATATCCAACCTTTACACATAAATTCCTCACACACACACACACACACACACACACACACACACACACACACACACACACACACACGAGCTTTGTGGTGTTAAGAGGGATTGAGGATTGAATCAAAGCCCTTCCACAAGTTAGGAGAGTGGACTACTGCAGAGCTGTACTACTACTGACTCTTAACAGTCATTCTTTCAGGAATGAAAGCCAGAAGTGACTGCACAATCCAACAGTAGAGTTGTGCTGTGCAAAATTACGAAGAAAGGCTATACTCTTGAGAATACTATACAGAAAAAATATGGGCATCTAAAGTAAAGACCTGGTATCCATACAGAAAGAGACTAGACGACGTGGAGAAATACAGGGCACACATACAGCCTTCTTTAAATCCTTCCAGCGTTCCCTATTCACCACTGTGTCCCGTGCAATCTTCTCTGTAGCCTCAGCATTCTCCTCCTCAACTCTCAGAGGAAGGTCAGCCAGTCTCAGAGCCTTTGCATACACGGTTCCCTTTGCTTGTACTTTTCTTTGCCTAACGGTTTTAAGTCTCATCCTAGTCACTTCTTCAAAGACACCTTCACTGAGCCCAACCAGCTAAGGGTGTTTCCATAGCAGCCTGCAATTTTCCATCTTGATATTTCTGCTACTGTTACTCATTTATCCAGCCAGCAGTCAAATATCAGGAGCCATTCACACCGAGATATTGCATAAAACAAAGGATACAAGATCCCTGTCATCTATGACCTTCTATTCTTGGGAGGGGATGGCTGCACAGTAAAATACTAGGTAAAGTATTAGGTGGTTACAGATGGTGATAGTTAGTTCAATGGCTATTCACTGTGCTTGAACTGCAAACTCCTTGTCTTGAAGTTAATCCCAGGTTTGTAAGAACCTAGTCTATATTTTTTTTTCACTAACGTAAAATGAGTACTTGACTAAATAAATGGCTGCGTTCCAGTCCCCCCCTCCCCCAAAGCTATCTGCTAAGAGGGCATTTTTTCATAATTAGGACAATTATAAGACAAGCAAAATTTACCAACTGGAGTAAAAAGGACTCCAAGTTCATAAAACACATTTCACATTCCTTAAGGACCTAGTGATAAGGCGGACCCTGAAAAGCGAGACATATTGGTTGGTAACTTGAATTCCCTTGACGTAGTGCCAAGGCATCAGTAGTGTAATTCACTTGTTTTTAAGCACCCAGAATATGATCCTCTTAATTTTTCTGATTTCTAAAGTGCTTCAGAGACTCCCATCACCCTCAGGACAGTAAAAAGCAACACGCCCAAACTCGTCAATAAGAAGGGGGACAACATAGCTTTTTTTTTGTGAGGTCAATAAAGAATGTCATCTTTGCACAAAAAAACCACCAACCCCGTTCAAGAAATTCGCTTAGGAGCTCTAGAGAAGAGTTGGGTTGGAAAATACCGGAAGACTCTAGGTTGGCATAGGCGCTCACCCAGAAACCCCTCCCTCGGGCGAGCGCTCAGAGATGCCTTTCTTTACCGAGGCGCATGCTCTCCGCCCCCCGCACGCCTCCTCGGCTAACCAAGCCGCTTACGTCACCGAGCGGGAAGGAGAAAGGTTCTTCCGCTCCCTTAAGAGAAACGAGTCCGCGCACTTCTCCTTCTCTTTGTGCACACTAACCACACTTCCTCCATCCTCGCCAGTGCCACCTCCTTCCCTAGGTCTTCTCCAGAGGTTCCGACTTGTTCGAACTCTCACGCGGCCGCGGGACACCGAAGGTTGCGGGGAGAACGCTGGCATTGTTTACAGACGCGCGCACGCTCGAGATCAGTCCGCGAGGAGGGCGGAGCTCGGCTGCCGGCGCTACTTACTCGCCCCTCCCTCCCCAGCCTTCCCCGCGAGCGGACGCGCCAGCGCCTCTGTCTCGCTTTTTCTTATTTTCTCCCCTTTTCCCCTTTCTTTTCTTTTCTTTTTTCCCCTTCCCCCCCTTCCACCATTTCCCCTCCCAGGCCCTTCCCCCGGGCAGGGGCAGGGCCGG